ATAGGTTTCATTTCGTAGAAGAATTAAGGTAGAAATTTCGCAAGAGAAAACTGAAAAAACACGGAAATCCAATGATAGAGAAAAGAGAGACGACGGGGAATTAAAGCCAGTTACCTAACTCAGAGAATCGATCCTGTTTCACACCTCTTTCATATTGATCATGTATTCACATTTGATGGTTTTCAGGGAGTCTGTTGTAAAAAAAGGGAAAATCAGCATTGAAATATATACAGTTCTTATACTTTTTCCGGCGTTGCTCCGTAGGAAGGAAGTATATCGGATAAGGGCACAACTTACGCCACGGGTCCTGTCGATCTACATGTACGGGGTGCCCCTTACGGTGCTAATTCACACAGCTACCCGAGGGGATGCCTGGGGTACAATCGTTCCGCCATTCGTATCCATCACACTCTTTCCAGAAGCTGATTAAAGGAGCTGGTTTCCCTAGTAATATCACGGTGCCAAAGGTGATGATAAAACCAATGATCAAAAAACTCAAAACATGTAAGAACGTCATTATATTACGTTTCCCTTCCGTAAAATGCCACTTCCACGTCAGCAGGGGTAAGTTGGAGATTGAGGTGTATTGAGAGGTTAATTTGAGTTGTCTCTTCGCGTGACAGTTACAGATATGGAGATTTGAATTTATTTCCAGTTTACTCAGCTGCAGCCTTAAGAGTGGGTCCCCATCGGTCCCCATTAGGGATCTCCAATCCCGTAATCCTAAAGGATAGTTTTGGTATCCCACCTCCCACACATACCCGAATCTCGACCCGATCATTGCTTTAAAACCCCAAATCCCGAGAGTTTCCCGAGCTTCAAATAAGGGAAATCCCGGATCCCGAAGACCCTCTTAAAAGAAGTTTCTGAATCTCGCATTCTTGTGTTTCGAAGACTCGATCTACCTTTGAGTAGCGAAATCAGTCGCAACTTGCTTTAAACAGGTTACGCCAAACGTCAAACGCTAACGCTTTGAACTGCAATGACTTAAGAGGAACTCAACCCATCCCCTCCAATCTGGACGAATTTTCTCAAAGTTTTTTTTAGCCCTTTTGTCAAAATTTCGGCCCTCGGTGGTTTAATGGCTTCTATTTTCTAACTGAATTGTGAATTTTTCCATGTATCGAAAAACTAAAAACAAAACAAACAAACAAAACACATATTTTCATTTTCAAGGAGGTACGGGCAAATTTTCTAAAATTCATCATTCCCTCTTACGAGACAGAGTGAGAATATAGGCTGCAATACCCCTGCGGGTTCTTATTACAGTTGTATGGTGCACCTAAGCATTTGGTTGCGAAGTTGCAGAACGTTCTGAATGCTGCTGCACTTATTATTGTTAGACTGAGAAAACACGATTTCTTTCTGTTTTGAAAGAACTTCACTAAACAGTAAACAATAATAATGATAATGATAATAATAATAACCAGCATTTCTATAGCGCTTATACAAATTGTTTTAAGCGCTTTACCATTCTCAACCTAGGAAATAAAAATAAATATATAAAATAAATATTATATTATGATTGGGACAAAGACAGCCGTATTAATACTTTACCCCTAATACAACATCTAAGATGAAAGGAAAAATAACACTCCCAACGTTGTAAAACCTGACATGACAGCACACAACAATGGGCTAAAAACAGCCCGGGGGTTACTTGGCTAAATTTTTGCTGGATATGTGCCGCTAGCCTCTCAGAGCCCCTACCTCAATATAGTCTACCAGTTATAGACCCCATCTTAGTCACTTTTGCGCAAATATTTTCGCAAGCACAACTTAGTCACTTTCGATTTTTTATGAACTGAACCATTTTTTAAACTGAAGGAAGAACTGTCTTACCCCAAAAAATCCGAAAATGTGCCACCAATTCTAGTAACTCTATTGAAAATGCGACCCCGTTATAGTCAATTCAGTCGTGAAAATGCGACCCCATCCAGCGGCACATCCTCAGTAGCCTCTAATAAAGAAGTACTACCCCCCGGGAAAAAAGAAACAAAATCAGAGAAAGGGCTGTCATAAAATAATTACTCTAAGAGATCTGGGCGATTGGGAGGAAACGATTTGCTAAGGTGATGAGACTGCTCTGCTCTAAGCCCGGGGGACACTCCCTTCTTATATAAGTTATATTGATATCTGTCGCTCCATCGGGTAGCGTTTTTGCGCTGTTTTGGTCTGAAAACGGGTTTAAAATTTGCCCATTTTGGTCTGGAATCGGGTATGGTTTTTGAGGGAACTAGGGGAGTGAATAAAAGTAGTTATCGTTTCAATTCCCAGCGAGTAAGAAAGTAGGGAAATATACGAATTCGACATAGATTTGAAGATTTTGTTTTGTTTGCACTTTAATCTAAGTAATGAAAACATAATTTCTGCCTAAAGGCCAGATCGGAATTAAAATGGGTATGGATTTTGGTGGTCTGGTCTGTTGGTCTGAATCGGGTCAGGATTTGGAGAACCGGGCGGAACACCCCCACCAAGAATTCCCAGGAGTACCCCTCCGGGGCTCTACAAGTACTCGCTTAGTGTGCATATTGGAAACATCCCTGTCTGTTTCCCTACCATTCTCTATCTGTGGCTACAAATAATACTTCTACACTCATGCTGTAATTAACTATTTAGTAGCCATGACATGACATCTGCTTCGATTCTTATTGCGACTAGACCGGTTTTTTTTTTTCACCTCTCAATCAGTAAGCGCGGTATATAGGGACTACGAGATAGAAAATGTGAAGAAGATCATGTTGCAGTTGTAAACGCTGCTGCAAGGAGGGAGGGGGAAATTTGGTTAGATTTAAGTGCGAGGCCCACCTATGTGTAACAGTACTAGTGATCGGCAGAATAAGAGCTATAGCGTACATAGCGTGCTGTTAGTTAACTTTCTATTTGCTCCAGTGCTCGTATTACACAATATGATTACATCCTGAGAAGGCTAACGCGGTCGACTGAAGTCAAGTGCCACTGCGGTGATTTCAGTGATTTCCTGTACATGTATACATAACAGAAACAGCTCACGTGCTGTTTGCGTTTCTATTTGTTTGTACCTTGGCCTTGTCCAAAGGTCTTCGCGCAAGTGTTTAAAAAGACAGCCTCACTCTTGCGATGACGCTTTTCTAATTCTGTCTGACTTTTTGACCTTATTTTAGCTCTTCGCGCACGTTTCTGCTAGTTTTATTTCATAAACGAACATAGGTACGGTGAGGTTGTTTGATATGTTTCCAAGCTGAATCTTTGAGTCATCATGTACAGACCGACCGCACAGATCGAGCGTTGATGAAGCCGCTCAATGCAAAACAAGAAGCCATAGTTTCCATCTCAGCAGACGATGAATCTTCGCCCTAGCCTGCGAAAACATCCGTTTCTCCTCGCTCTTCGTCGCTGAGGACGTTTCGCGGGGAGGAACGTCTGCGACTCAGCGACAGAAATTACATACTGATGACGCAAATCAATGTTTACATAATAAATCCGGTAGTCATGGGGTTCCAAATATAAATTTGTCTAATTTTGCATGTCTTCTGGTCGATTTTGGTAAAGTGTTGTGTTGATCTGCCCACGAGCTCCAGCAAAACTCAAATGCTTCTTCTAGAGAAGACTATATTGCACAAATATTGACTGTTTTGTTAGAGATTCTTCGTGTTTACATTTGACCTTTGTGGCCTTTTGTCTTTTGTCTGTCATTTGTAAACAATAGCTAAAACAATGTAACTGCTCCGTCGACCAATCAGCGCTTCTGACCGGATTCTGGACAGATTTTACGTCATCAGTATGGAATTTCTGTCGCTGAGTCGCAGACGTTCCTCCCCGCGAAACGTCCTCAGCGACGAAGAGCGAGGAGAAACGGATGTTTTCGCAGGCTATCTTCGCCCCTTAAACCTAAATCTTGTTCTGCTCTTGCCCATGCAACATCTGCTCGGTATGACTTATTAAAATATTTGAATGAACAATAGCACAACTGAATCATAGGATTCGCATGGGATTTTATATGATCTGAAGAATTATGCGGATTGAACGAAAGCCGAGTCCAATAACTGCTGCGGAGTCACTGTGATGAAAGAACCAAGCAATTCTTTCAAAGACGGAAAACAAAGCATGATCACTTTGAAGTTCGCCAACACAAGAGTTTACCTTAAAAACGTTGGCCTACGTGACTCTTCAGAGTTAGCAAGCCATTCCCTCCTGGTCTTGGGTATCGAAGAAAAGCTTGGTATGTAATTTGTAAGGGATCCAAAAACATTAAACCCAACTGATGTACTTCAACGTTTCTAAATATTTTCTTAAACACCTTCAGTGATTCAATGGGTCAGACGGACAATGACTAAAAAGTAAGCAATTCGAGGGGGAATTACACTTTTTCCTCCATTCTCTTTCTAATTCTATCCTCTCAAAAAAAATGGCAGGTCAGTGAGATTAAAAGAAACCGGCGTGACGGCGTGATGGCGTGACGCCCGGGTCTAGGCGGCCGGCCGCGGCCGGTCTCTAAGCGGAAGTTTTGAATAGAAACCCTGGAAACAACTCGTTTTCCGGCCTTGTAGGAAACAAAGGACTTAACCTGCGATCAGGCGGTCTTTCTTGCCTTTTGACAGCTGACAGCTTGTCAAATTATAGCCTGCCTGAAATATATCCACAAGCCCACTTAAAAAACCCACAAAGAAAACAACTCTACTCACAACTGGCTTTTATCAACAAGAGATTAGCTAAATGGGCAAGAAACGATTTTTATAATAGGCTTTGGCATGAATTCCAGAAATATTTTGTGCTTAAATCGAGATCGAATACTGCTTTTGTGTTTACAGAGGGGATACGATGTCACGAGCTTAACCTCGCTGTATCTGCTCGAGTTATTCCTTCCTAATAGACAATGGCAGCATTCTTTTATCATGTTGATCCGTTTACCCTAGTCCATCTAGACGTCAGACATATTACCGATTTTCATCGTGCCTTTCGAGAGCTTAATTTCACGGAACCCTGTCCTAGAACAAAAGTCAGGCAGGGGCAACGTTAACATGAAATTTGTAAAATTTTTTGCGCCGCCGCTTTTGCTTTTTATTTGGGGAGACATTGTTGTTTTGCAGGCGATAAAACTTAAGAATTTTTACCCTTTTGGACAAAGCGAAGGTGATCAAGTTGTTCCTCCTAATGACGACGGAGGCTCAGGAAGAGTTCCCATATCGTTCCCGTTTCCATTCTTTGGACAACATCACTTATCATTGTTTGTAAGTATAGTCATGGGTAATTTTGTCACACTTGCTTTACAAATATAAATATCAATGTTAGGGTGAAAAACATTGTAAGACATTACAATACTAATGTATAAGATGAAATACAGGATGGCGCCAAGGTGTGTATCTGAGTTATTCAGGATGAAAAGTACACGCCAACGCCTAAGAAACTATGATTTTGATCTACCCCGCTTTGATACGGTGGCCTATGGGAGGCATTCGCTGCGCTACCAAGGACCTTTTATTTGGTCGAAGGTCAGTGGTGAGCTAAGAAACTTAACAAGCCTCAAATCATTCAAGAAACATATAGGCGGTGTGGACCTTTTGAGCTAGATAATAATAGTAACTGCTGTGACTTGTGTGATTCTGAGTCGTGTAGTGGTTTAGGTTTTAGGTACTGAGATCATTAATTTAAAAATCATGTAATAGATTAGTGCCAGTACTTAGGAAAGTGTCCCCTGTTAAGCTAAATACATTGACACTAAAATAAAGTTATTATTATTACTATTTAGCAAGCGAATATTAACGTTAAAAGCCGACGTTTCGGTATCATCATGATACCATTCTAAGAAAACTCAAACCATCCCTAAACGTGCAGGTGGACTCGATTCGAGCAAAGGTATTCACTTGAAGAACTTGTGATCCTTTGTTATTATGTCAATTTGTAAAGACTATAGAAATCAAATCTTCGCATTATTTATTCAGTTTGCTTTGAGAATGGTATCATGATGATACCGAAACGTCGGCTTTTAACGTTAATATTCGCTTGCTTATGTTTTAAGAAATTATTATTATTATTATTATTATTATTAACAATAATTATTATTATTCAAGTATTATTAAAACGCAAAGGGACTTCCTAATTCTGGCAAGGTGAACATCGACCTTATCACGTCCACCGGCGTTCCATTTATATTGGTCTTATAAAATTATTGTGCCTTTTCCTTCACACTGTTTCCATCTAAACTAAGACATTGCAGAAAGTTAACTGCATGCAAGTCAGGGACTGATGTTCCGTTTCAAAGTAAATGTTATAGAAAGTACTCTGAGACACGTGTACGGATGGCACAACATAGGTACCAATTTACAAAATACACTGGATCAGTGGTACAGCAGTAATGGCAGGAGCCCATCAGAAGTCTCCTGGTGGTAACAGTGTTATTCAGTAAACAAACAAAGTTACATCCATGAACAGTGGAGGGTGACAATGGGGTGACAGCTTTGAAGGTTGAAGATTAATTCTTTTTCCATTTTTGACAGCCGACGTTTAAATTTAAGAGCTTTTGACGGTTGACAGTTACTAATTTACTAATGCAGTCAAAAAGTTAATTAAAAGTAGTATTAACTTCTGTACGAATTAATATTAAATGTTTGTTTTAGATGTTGTCTTTTTGAGAACATGGGAACTGGTTTTTCCAGTTTAGATCAGTTTAGAAATTCTTCAGGAGCCGGAATGCCGTGAAGATCAGCTGAAAAGTGAGATTTAAAATGCTTTAAAGCTTTTTGACGGTTAATCTTGCATCTTTTATAAATTAATCTAACATCAACTCTAACAACTACATAATAATATGGTCGTCGGAAGCCCTTAAAGTGTAATTAGTCAGAATCGTTTAAATATGACCTGGCTAACAAACGTCAATCTTTCTAACAAAGACGAGTATAGTTACGTAATTTAAATTGAAACGTACTGATCCTTGAACTTCAAGAATTGATTGTAGGATGGGCCCAGGAGGTACACTTTTTAAACTAGGTTTTTTTTTAAAGCATGCACTACTCTGTGGTGTGGCTCTAATTGTCCTACATGCTTCAAGTAAGTCACCCCTTGAAGCCAGTGGGCCAAAGAATGCGATTATTGGGCCCTTCTTTACTGCTCCTTATTTAGAGTTAGGTACACGGATTTTAACTATAATTCATTTGGAAGGTTGCCCGGTCAGAGCAGTTGATAAATAACAAGCCCGGCCAGTGCAATCGATAAATAACAATATCGGAAAACAAATCGATAAGTCAGTAACTTTCGATAACCACATTTTTATTGATATCGATTATATCTGTAAATCGATAGAAATCAATGGCCACAACTTTTTTTAGCTGTGAGCGCTATCAAGTCACAGGTAGCCCAAGCTCGAAATATGAGCATCGGCGAGCATCGGCATTGTTGCGTAACATCCGAAATATAAGGATTTGTATGGGGAAAAAACCTTTCGTTTCTGTAACCTACGAAAATGAAAGGATTTCAATAAAAAAAAGACCGGTTACCTTACTTAGAATGTGTGTTACGTCTCTACTGTGTGGTCCATGGGCCGATTTGTGGCCGTTCTATGGGTTGTACTGTAAACGGTTTTCTCTCAAAATGTAAACTCCATATTTCGAGCTTGGGCTACCCGTGATCGAGTTACTGATATTATCGATTTCATTATCTTTCACTTCATTACCCTCTAGGTTCAAACCTAATGAATGCATTGAAAACTGGGTCTTCTTTGAAAGACTTGCATTGCGTACAGCTAGCGATTGGCGTTGTCATATGATTTTAATGCTTTTCCATTTACTTGCAATGGTGTATACTAGCTATATTAGTTTGGTTAGCTGATCGGCGCTTTATGATTAATTAAGCAGCCATTGAGCCCTCGTCGCTCGCCAGCAAATCGCGATAAACGAGGGCGTAATTGTAACATAACTTCGTTTTTTCTCAATCGCACTGGCTGAGATAAGAACTAGACGGATTTTAAGAGAAAAGGAGGACTGCAAGCAGTCTAACAGGATTTATAGTCGTGGAACAATGTTGATTCGCCCAAAACCACAAAGATCGGTTACATGAATTTTTTTAATTCAGTTCCAGTCAAGTTATTCTGTCTTCAAAGTTAAGGTTCTTTCTTTCGCTCCTCTTGTTTTGGAACCAACTTCACTAACGTTCCGGAAACGTTATCCCGTCCTTTGGCATCGATGAACTTCGATAAAAAAGAAAAGATAAAGATCGATAATTATCGATTGGTCACAACTTTTTAATCTGTCAATTTTTATCGATTTTGTATTTTATCAATGGAGTTTATCGATAGTCATCGAGTGTTATCGATTATAGCCTAAATTGATTGCACTGGCCGGAAAGATTGAGAGAGGATTTGCATTTACCATAAACTAGAGTAGCGCGTTCTTGTTTCGACTCGTGGCTTCAATAGCGTAGAATAAAAAACGCTCTTGTTAAAGAACGAGGAACACACATGGGCATAACGCTAGTTTCCACTAATGCTGTGCATTTTTCCACTCAAAAAGTTGTTTGTCATGTCAACAATAATTTTGTCCATCCGTACGATCCACACGACTCGACAACTTTTCGAAGCGATAATATAATAAGATACATTTTTCCCTCGACAAATCCTGGTAAGCTGACATAGTTGTCTACTCGTAGGAGTTTTAAACCTTGGCTATTTTTCCACTCGTATCGTGTCGACTTCATTTGGCATGAATGAAAGCCTCAAGTGTCGTCTCAAGGTGATGATTCGAGTAGTCAAAGGCCGCACATCTGGGGTGAAATGACAGGCCGTACGTGGACTGATGGAAATTCATTTTATTCCGACTGGACAATAACTCTAGCATCAGATTATTATAACTCGTTAAGTTAAGCTTCTTGGCTGATACTCAAACAACAAACTTTCTAGCTCTAGACGTAACTAGCAAAGGGGAATGCCCCTCCTAAAGAAAATGGGTTGACTTTAGAAGAACAGTGCTCCTTAATGGATGAATAACCGTTTATAAATACTATGACCAACTTCAGTCAAGAAGATCTTCAAAACTTTTGCTTTAGTGCTATACATACTTGTATAACGTCTAAAAAAGTGTACCTACGGAAGTGAAAATGATGGCTGCACTAAGAATTTATGGGGCTTCAGTAGAACAAAACCAAAAACGTCTTAAACGTAGTCTAAATATCCCCTAATTAGTAAGGAAGGCGTGTGTTAGCTAGCATCAAACTAGACCAGCTTGAATCATCATCTTACCTCAGTTGACGAATAGCTTTTCGGAAACACTATTTTTGGGAATAGTTATGTTTATCTGCTAATAAAGCTTTTTATTTCAGATCAACACCAATGGAGTAATCTCATTTCTGACAAACGTTAACCAGTACACACCAGATAGGTCTCCTCTCGGCGATAGGCGACGACTAGTAGCACCATTCTGGGCTGATGTAGATACTAGAGTAGCCGGAGAGGTATTCTACCGCGAGACTTCGGATATAACTTCTCAAGAAAGCAACTGCTGATGTCACAACTATCTATGTGAGATGCAAATCGTTTAGAGCTGCGTGGTTGTTAATTGCAACGTGGCATGAAGTGGCCTTTTAAGCAAGGTACTGTTACTTAGAAATCATCATCGTCATCAACGACAACAGACCAAGTTTAATTTGTCCCTTGATGAAGTCATTGTGCACACCAACATAAGGCCAGCTCGTGTTTCTGCCTCGCTGTGCGATTGACATACGTTCCACGTGCGATGCGAATTTCGTCAAAATAATAAACCTTACGGACCTCCCTTCGAGAGGAATCATTTATTAGTTTACAAAATATTCTTACGCCATCTTTAGTTGTAAATCTTGTTATTGGTTGGAATTTATGGTATCTAAATAAGAATCATTTCAGTGATAATATTCCTTAACGGAAGCAACTCAGGAAAAAGGTAAACTGTTATAAGACAGACAATAAGGCTGCTAAATAGAAAGGTATGCACTTGTTTGTTCTGTCGGTTTTAGAAAGCTAAGGTTATCAGTAGAACCCAAGTTAGAAGGTATTACTAACACAGCAGAGAGGAAAACCGAAAACAAGCAAAGGAACTTGCTGATGAGTACACGAGGATAATCGGCTTACACGACGTCTGAGATTAACCTTTGCTTTTACTATTATTATTATTATTATTGTTATTATTATTATTATATTACTATTATTATTATTATCATCATCCTCGTCATTATTATTACCATTACCACTATCATTATCATTATCGTAACACTTTATTATCGTATCGATGAATAATTTGTTTGAGAGGGCTTTGAAGATTTGAAGTTTATATAATAGAAACACTTAAGTAACTCGTGTCGCTTATGTCACCTCCTTCTTTTGTTCCAGCGAAACACTTTTCAGGCAGTTCTTGTTACAAACGGTAGAAATTCGTTTGTCATCTTTAATTATGATACGCTAACATGGACTACCGGGCTAGCTCAGGAAACAGCTTAGGGCTCGGAGGCAAGCCTGCACAGATATGCTTCACATGCAAAATATTTTTAATTCGTAGTCAGTTTAGAAACTGTGATAGTCAATGAAAATACAACTGGCCTTCATGCAAGGAGCAAAGAAGCTGAAAATTAATTATATGTCATCATGTCTTGTCAGGCTGGTTTCAATGGAGGGGACGGGTGGCGATATTTTATCATTCCAGGATCTGGCACGCACCAACCTTAGCTTTCTCATCAATCCAATGTTCGAATCCCTGGTCGATGGTTATATCGCATTGACAGCAAGGCCGGTGATTGCAATAATAAGGGTAGCCGGTTGCTGTTTAGAGTTAATGAAAGCTACTTTTAGGTGATGAATAAAACGGGGAATAAACAGTAGTAATTAAATTCTTCAAAACAAGAGCTGTAGGTTTCAGGATGCTGTAGGAAATCTGCCGAGAACACTCGGCTCCAGAAAGTCCTTGAACCAGACAAAAAAAGGTTCAATTAATGATTAGAAAGGTTGTCTTAATATTTTTAAAGAATGTTCCTGACTCGCTCCCCCGAGAGTAGCTATTTTTTCTAATTTTTAAACGTTCATTTCAGTTACTTTCAGTTTTTGCTCCCTATAGCAATAATGCCTTTCAAATAGAATAAAGCTTAAAAAACATAAAAGAAAAAAATATCGTTCATTACCAATTTTACGAACAATTTTCATGTTGAAACTACATCTTGCTCAATGGGGTGGTAGCTTTGACGTTCAACGGTTAATTTTTTTCCAATTTTGACTGTTAACGGTTACTTTTTAGAGGTTTTTAGCGGAGATTTACTCCAAAAGTTTAGGTAAATATTTTTAAACTTCTGTAATATAAATTAATATTGACTGTGTGTTTTGGAGGTTCATTGCCTTGGCCTTTTTCTTAAAAAGTTCGAAATATTTTCAGATGATAAGCAAGTTGTTAGGTCTTCTTATGTCTAAAGACAGAGATCCAATCCGTAAAGATCAGCTGAATATAGTGAGTTTTGAAATAACTTGAAACTTTTTAACGGTTAATATTAATCTGCATTTTGACGGTAAAAAAATTACCTTTCTCTTGAAAAATTCTACAGTTAAGTTGACTTGACTATTAATTTTGATTACCAACAACGGACTCAAACGATCGAAGATACTGAAGCAGCTGTAGTGTGTGCAAGAAAACTTGCGCCAGAAGAAAAGGGAAGGCTTGGAAACATTTAAACTGAAATTATTTGTTTGAGTACTGACAGGAACATATTTTAAATCTTTTCAACACCTAGGCGCCGTCGTATAAACTTTTTGTAGCCTCCCACGTCTAGAGGTAACTACTTATAATAATAACAGTAATAATAATGGAAACTTTATTTGTGTTTTTGAATGTACAATTGTAAATCTCGCTACGTATAGGCAATTTACAAATGCTGCTTGAGATTGGATTATCGAAAAGAAAAAAAAAAGCAAAAAAAGCAAAAACAAAAACAAAACAAAACAAAAGCCAAAAACAAAAAAAATATCAAAATTGCATTAGTCTGAGCTATCCCAGCTCCTATTTCTACAACAAAAGATGTAATATGTTGCTCTAATGGCTATATTTATCATTTTCTTGATTATATAACGTTGCTGCTTTTTGTCAATGCCAATGTCATTCATCATGTCTAAGAACGTGGAGCATTCATCCGAGAAAACGCCAAGGAAACTCATGGAGAGATTTACAAAACTCACACATCTGTAATTTCTACTCATTTCGTTGATCAAGTTTAGATATTTTTCTTTCTTACGCACTGCATTGTTGTTAAGGTTAGACTCGAAACCAACTGTTAGTTCTAGAACATATAGGCACTTGGACTGGATTAGGAAAAGAAGATCTGGACGATAATTTTCACCAGTTATTATTGAGGGATTTAGAAAACCATTAACATCTGCGTAGAGTAAAGAGTGAACATTAATTACAGGTTGAAGTGACTTGGCGATGAAGTTAAGTGTTGAGTCGTGTCTCCAGGTAAAGCGATTAAGGTACTGTTGACAGCCAGCGACAACATGAAGGAGTGATTCAGGATTAAGGCAAAAGGAGCAATCAGGACTTTGTGATAATCCCCATCTTGCCATATTCTAACGTGCAGGGAGGGAGTTGTTGATGTAGCGGATGGTAAAATTGTAAATGTTCTTGGGTAGATGAGACTGGGCCTCTGACCAAGTAGAATTTACAGATGACAATAATAATAATAGTAATAATAATAATAATAATGATAATAATAATAATAATAATAATAATAATATCATCGTAGGTGGCGAATTACTCCATTAATTTGTAATTTCACATGTGAAATTACAAAATTGCCATGGCAACCCTTCCGTACGTCTCAGTGTCAAGATGGCGACGAAGTTTTAAAATGCCGTGAATGAAGATGTCAGGCTACACAAGAGAACATCAAGAAGGATTCTAACAAGTATTTTGCCGAAAAAGTCTGAAAAATTCTGAACTTTATAATCCAAATTTAAGGTCTAAACATTTGAGAGAGTGGAGTTCTCGATCGATACGATCCAGGATAAGCATGTCAAAAATCCAAGATTGCTAACGTAATTCGTCACCCATGATATTAATAGGTCATCAAATGGTATACTCGTGACGAAATTAGGGAATAATTTCACTTGCGTTTTGTCCAAATCCTAATAATTTAATAATTATTAGGATTTGGACAAAACGCGCGTGAAATTATTCCCTAATTTCACTCGTCACCATTTGATTACACATACTAAGTAATAATAATAATAATAACTAGTGTAACTGTGTGAATCGACAAACTGAACAAACTGCTATAGGACTTCAAAATACAGACTGACAGCAAGACTGAACACAAACAGCTTGATATTGTGGTATTGGATAAGATAGAACGCAAATGGCCCTGATTATTGATTATGCTTGTCCATTTGACTTCCAAGTAAAGTGAAAGACAACGAGAAAGAAAAAAAAATGAGAACTACCAAAACCTGAAGAGGAAGTTGAAACGGATCTAAGAATTGCGCAAAAGAAACTGTGGTGCCAGTCATAATTGGCGCATTAGGAACTGTTCCGACGGAAAGATTTATTATTAAGTGGTTAGCAGAGATTAGTGTCACATGTCGTTTGGAATCATTGCAGAGAGCGTGCTTGCTGGTTACAGACAGAATCCTTCACAAAGTTTTGGACATCTTATGTCACGGGAGGTGACTTGATACTCCAGCAACCATCTAGAAGCTGTCTTTAATGAGGATAATGACACAATAAAAAAAAATTTACCTTTAGTTCCTTACTTGGTTTGTTATTGCTTACTGTGTGGTTATTTTCCCGACCCGCGCTACGATTTAAGCAATTTCCTTTACCCACGAGTTTTAAGAGAAGTCTTTTATTTGGTCGTTTACGTTAGTATTCCAACTTAGTATTACATAACCGTAATGGTTTTAACATCAATACTATCAATATCATCATATCTTATATCTTTCTTTTTAACTATATAATATCCGGGGTTAACTGCATGAATATTTCGTTAAATATGGAAGAGGAAAAGTGCCGCTGCGTACAGAATTTAATATTCTTCTCAATTAGGACAAAGAATAACCCTCGACCTGGTTATAGCTCTATTGCAATGGCGCATGCGCAAGCTATTTATTTTAAAAACACACTCTGTATGGCACCGTCTATAAACGTTTTTGAAATACTTCGTAACAGGAGAGATTTCGAAAATGATTTGATCCAAAAGTTAACCGCTAAAAGACTTTTGGAATACATTTAAAAAACATTTTAAAAAGTGAACGACGTTTCGGTGCTACGTTACGCCATTATCAGAGGGTCTCAATGGGGTTAACCGATAGGCGTAAAACGGCCAAAAATTTAGTCGATAGCCGTAAAAATTGAAAAATTTTAACCGTTAGCCGTAAATAGAGTAGTAAAAAAGAGTTAACCGTGAAAGAAACTGTTCCCTAGATTTTTATTTCCCGGCTAGTGTGACTTCGTACGCCGTTAGGCGAAGCCCCTTTTAGGTGTTGACCAAGACCTAAGCTCCATTTCCGCCACTCTCTCGGGGAACTAATTTTTTCCATAGCGAAAGAGTGGCTTCTTGCTGGGGATTAATATTTGCGATTTTCAGGAGGTCGTGCCCTCGAAACACTTGTGAAACAACACGCAGAGATGTCACTGTTTGTAAAACACGTTGCCGATAAACAACACTTCCCTGTTTTTCTCTGACGTTACGGTAAACATTGCCATGCCCTGAGTCCCTGCACGGCGTCTTCCCACGCAATCTCGGTCAAGGCATTTGGGTGGCGAACTTGCTAGGACCACGTGACCCGAAATGCATTAGGCGCGCGGAATAATGAGGCCTACGGACAAGGCAACGGCAGACAGTCGTTCCATACAGTCCTTCGCTATCATTAAAAACACTGGACTCGGGAATTTTGTTATTGGCCGTTGTCACGCTAGAGCTAGAAATGGATTATCCGTCTGAGACTAGCCTGTGTACAGTCGCGCCCTCCCCACAGACACCCCTTCTCCGATTTTTTCAGAGGGGAGGGGGCGGCTGTACACAGGCTATCTGGAACGGCATCCCGTCTTCAAACTGTCCGTCGAAATTGACGGATAAAGTCATGCGGGTTGTTTATTCAAAATTAAAACTATTCCATAGTTCAAATATTAAGAAGTATTACCTACCTGACGGGAATCATCAAACGGATAACCCGTCTCACACGAATAATCCGTCTCTAGTGTGAAAACGGCCATTTCTGTTATAATGAATGTCGCGCCCCGGCCTTGGGTTGGGCGTTTGCGTGTCCGCTTTTGCTTTTTCACAAAGATTATTTTTAAATGGACTATTGACATTTCTATGTTTAAAATAATATTAGAAGTGAAATACTTTATAAAAAGTATGATCTATCTAAAATTTTCAAATGAATAGCTTGTTTCATACCGAGATGATCGGAAGACCTTTATTTTGATTTAAAGATACAAAAATACAAGTTAATTAATATTTAACTTTTTGAAACAAAAGAAGTTAATTTTTAACTTTTTTGTTAACCATAACTGAAAAAAATTAACCGATAGCCGTAAAAAAGCCAAAATTTTAGCCGATAACCGTAAGAGCCACCACCCCATAGAGACCCTCTTATCAAGCTGAAAAGTGAAAAAGTATAGTTGTAGCATCGTGTTGACTACGCCTTTCTTTCACAGGACTGCTACTCCATTTCCAAAGCTACGCCAACAGCAGATACAAGAAAGGCCCGGAGTCAAAACGATGGTTAACCGTGCGTACCGTCTATCTTCCACCGAAGAAAGTTTTGCAAAAGAATGCAACAAGTTACGCACCATGTTTTCAAAGCTGCACTATCCGAAAACATTGGTCGGTTCCACTATAAATAAGCTCAGCCAGGAACCAGATAAAGAAATACACACCGTGCCTTCAGTAGACCCATCTGTTTACATAGTATTGACCTTTAAAGATCAGTGATCAGCTGATGGCGTACGCAAAGATATCTATTCTCTGGGAGCCAAGATCGATGTTAACGTAAAACATCAACGCATCAACGCATAAGTGAACACCGTTATTCAGCCATCGGGAAACACCGTGAAACACAGCAGGGCAACAGCAGAGCAAAGACTGACCATCTTTTCAAAGTTCTGAGGAAATGTAACAGCAAGTTTGATTGCTTAGTCTACGAGATCTTATATATAAAGAACATAAAGCCTTCTCTTAACACGCAAGCCGACTCCATTCGCGCCAAACTATTTACGGGACACTTTCGTACACTTTTTTTCTCTTATTGTGTTTCTTACCTTGGGAATTATTCCCATTGGACCCGGAAATATTTTATTTATTGTTTCAAATTTTATATATTCATTTTACACCTTATACTTTTTCACTTTTCAACTCGATAATGGCGTAACGTAGCGCCGAAACGTCGTTCACTTTTTAAAATGTTTTTTAAATGTATTTTAAAAATCTTTTAGCGTTTAAGTTTTTGATGAAATACTTCGGCCGACGAAAAACCTTTTTCGCCCATCGATAGGTCACTCGATGGATTAACCTTTGGGAAAACCTAATATGTAATGACTGATATGCATTGTTCTGAAACTCCGCAATAATATACAAAACTCGTAGACGCGTTTAAAAATGATCAGCTATACATCGATTCCTAGCAATTATAACCTTTTTTTGCGCTCTTAGAGTCATAAAGGACTTCACGAGTTTCTCCTTGGTCATCCTGGCTTCCTCAGGAAGTTAAGTTCGATACTGACCACTCACCTGTCATCAGAGTTAATATATTTAGTCATTGACCAATGGGATATCAGCATTTGACAGTAAGGGACAAGGTATGCTTTATTACAGACGCGAAAGCATTATCAAGTACTTCGAAGCTAGGCGGAAATGGATCTCGTTAGCATTTTTTTGCTAAATCTTGCTCTTCCTTTATTTTTCGAACTATCTTTATGCCAAACGGATTGCAATGGCTGCTGCAATCCGAACACCTATAAAGTAATCAACGAGCCTCGGCGTAGTATCAATAGTATTTGGAAACAAGGTCAAACAGCGATTTGCGATGGAACTCTTTCATGGGGATGGTATCGATTCACGAGCTATGTCGGTGGACAAATGCCAACATCCCGTGTCAACCCGTACCACTGTGGCACGGTTGCTCCGATTTGGTTACGTGGAAAACACCCGTCATCTGCAGATCTAACTGTAACAGTCCAGGCGTGCACAAACTTCTTTAACCTCAGCAATGGTTGCCACCAGCCATTCAACGTAAAAATAAGGCAGTGTAGTGGGTCACCGCCATTCTTCGTCTACTATCTAAAACCAACATATTCGTGCGCTGTCGCCTATTGCGCCGGTAAGGATACTGTCTAGTGATAACCGTTCTCGGTATTAGTACTGTTGTGTTGGATGGGAAATTCGGGTTTAAATATATTTTCTGGTTTGTGAAACTTCTAATACTTCGAACTAGTAGTTTGTTTCCGTGGGGAAAAAGTCAAATAAATATGACCCTTGATGCAGTTCCGGTTCTCGAGCCACTAGCTTTTCAAAACCGATTAGGAATTAAAGTTCAATTTTCATTCGTTTAATTTTGGCAATAACATAAGTACCTCCCACCGGACAGAAACATGAACAATTGGAACATTCTATTCGCAAAGAAATAAAAGCAGTACTTTTTGTTTCTATTATTATTCAAATTAAAAGCCAACTGATGATTTTGACAGTTTCCCGAAAGGGCTGAAATAGAGAATTCATACACTACAGACTTTTTACCTAGGTAAATTCGACTTGTTGACAGTTTACCTAGGGAAACTTGATTTTTTAAGTGTGACCGAGGTTTCTCTAGGTAACTTACCTCGAGGAAATTTTATCGTCTGGGTCTTACATATGTCTCGAGAAAACAAGAGTTTCCGTTGACAGCTACCCCAAAGCGATAGCTAGGAAAAAAATGAAATACCGAGGGTGCTAGCCAATAGATGCTCATCGGCGAAAGTCTTGATGACAGAGCCGCACGTAGCTCATGCTGTGAAAGAAATTTTGGGGGCACGATGAGTCGTCTACGTCTTCGCTTTTCTTCACCTTCGACGTTGAATTAGCGTAACAAAAAACAGTGAGATAAAAGAAAAAAACGTCTCTTTGATCAGCTAGATCCCTGCGCATCTTGCCTTGTTAAACTGATTTACGCTCCACAAAAATTTAACTGGCGTGAAAACCTTGAGACCCGATATCAATAGTGTGACCTTCCCAGAATTTTTCATCTGGGTAAAACAAAACCCGAGATGAATTTACTTCGGGAGATTTTGATGAATTTACCGGCCTAGGTAAATCGCTTTTAACTAGGTAAAAGTCTGTAGTGTGACCACAGCTATTATGATTTATAATTTAGTTCAGATATACGTGAGAGTATAAAACACGGAGCTATAGCTGTCATTCTATCGATAAATAGTTTGTCTAGGGCTTACTTTCTATCAGTACTTATTTACCATGGTACTTTCTTACCATCCATCAATAGTTTGTTTAAGGCTTACTTTCCGGCAAATAAAATGAACTGAATGTAAAAAGAAAAGGGAAATAGCGAAAAATTCAACCACTAATTAAATCTTTTCTTAGTGTTTAGAATAAACTGTTCTCGAAACTGAGAATGTTTTGATCAAAACTGTGTAAATCGAACTGAAACTTTACATGGAACCTTGCGTTTCCTGTATTTATCTCACCATATGTGTGAAAATCTTCATTATGAATCGGTATATTTCAAAGATCTACACAACAAGCAAGACTTCGGAAATGAGTGATAGCCTGGGACCAAACTAAGCGTGCGCCCGTTTATGAGATCGTTTGGGGGGACGCGAAACAAACATGGCGGAAAGCAAAGTGAAATTTAGCGGGGTTAGAAAAGCTCAAAACAGCCAAAGGGAAGGTGACGATGAAAGAAAAAAAAAACATGAAAATGTGAAGCTAAAGGAAGAGGATGTGCCTGGAGCTATTTTACCGCTTTCATAGTTGTTGTGCCCTTCTAAGACGAATAGCAAGCTGACTGCTATCTAGTGATGACGGGCTTTCACCGCCCGAATTTCAACAGCATCAATGATATGCACAGTCCTTGGGTACAGCTCCTTAAAAATGTTTGTCAAATACTGACGTAAGACCTCTTTTCTTGGAAGGCATTAAGGGCTCCAGTTCAACCCTCATGAACAGTACCCAGGTATTAAACATAGTGGAAACGGTTGTTTCAGTGAAACATTGAATCTGTGTGCTAAATCCTTTGGAAATAATCTTATCTAAGTCAAAATAAACTCTGCGTCTTCCTAGCTTTTTCTCAGGACTGGTGTTTTTCTTCGCGTAGGAGCCATAATTTAAGTTCTGGGCCTTGTAATGCAACTTGTCGTAAAGAAGCATGAGTGCATACCAGTGTGGAAGGCCAGTGTAAAATTTGATATCTTGATCCTTTTCCTTAAATTTTGAAATGTCAAACTTTCGGATTTTTCAGTGCAAGCTGAAGTCTCTTTGAATCTCTCGTCAACTCGTCTTTTTCTTTTGCTATTTCTTCGCCATTGGATTTTAATTCAAATTCCAATCGATCGAGAAATTCTCCGGTTATTTCAGTTTTGCGTCTCAGCGTCACAAAAGGAAAGAGTCGGTGAAACACTGTTACTTTGAGTGTTCACGTGAATCTCCTCAACTGACACTTCATTTACTGAGTCAACCTCACCGTTCATTACGGTACGAGAAATGTCAGTGTTTCTTTTCCTGGCTCTTGAATTCGAAGTTGCCTCTGACCTGTATAGAATTGGTCGTTCACGTTTCTTTTAACTCCAAGGAAAAATAGATGGTAGATGAGTTCTACTACGTATTGCGCTTTTCACCGCCATCCCAATGGGCAGAGCAAATCCGTGTGGTATCGGAGTTCAAATTCATATTCTCGCCGGATACGTCTTGCCTTGGGTATTCTATAAAATGTCACACCATGGGAGTTCTTGAAATTATTTGGGCACAAAGGCACACAGCAAGTTGCATGTCCCGGCATTATTCCAGGTGGCTGATCGGAGTCTTCTGTCTCCCAAAACGATCCCATAAACGCGCGCGCACTTAGTTTGGTCCCAGGCTATCACTCATTTCCGAAGTGGGCTATAGACCGACAATAAACAGAGCGGGGGCAGCTGTAGTGTCAACTATTACTAGTGGTATGCTGGGTCCGTACTACCATCCGGGAATTGTAAGTTAAATGGTGAGGAGGGAGTAAAGAAGCTTGTTGACTTTGTTTCCGACTGTGTGATTGACTTGGTGTCTTCTGTGTCCCTAAAACACTACATGCATGGCCATTTTCAGGATCTTGTTGATGAGAAAAATTAACACAGACCACAAAAGACGCGCACTATATCGGTCTATCGGCTTCACACTAATTTTCCCACGAACGAATGCGATTAATCGATACCCCGTTGATTAATCCCTTATTCCATAGGCGTATCTTAAATGCGAAGCAAACAAACATGTTCTTGACTTATGTACATTTCAGCCAGCGAACTAATATTCACGCGGTTACAGCAAGAAAATGAGCCTCTCTAACGGCTGTGCTTGTCTTATCATGACGATGGATGTTGTCATGAAATTTAAGAAAATTCAAACAGTGAGAGCTGCCACAAAATTGTGTGAAACTGAACATAACTACTAAAAACGTTATAAACAACACAGCGAACACAAAAGAAAGAACGGATGAACAAGGTTTGAAGAAGTTTGGAACGGATGGCAATTGC